ACACACACACACACACACACTCACGCACACTCTCGGTGGCAGCCTGTACCATCATAGCCACTGCCGCAACTGCATATACGAACACATTTATGTAAAACTGTGAATACTTGTGTGTATAGGTGTGTGCTCTTGCATGTGCTTGGATGTATACAAGGTTGTATCATTTTGCTTTTCTGTTTACATGTTATGTATATTTGTGTGTGTGTGTGTGTGTATGTGTGTGTGTGTGTGTGTGTGTGTGTGTGTGTGTGCGCGTGTGTGCGTCTGTGTGTGAGTACATACTTAATTATGTGAGTAAAAAAAATATACACTTAATGATAAGTACAAGTGTAAACAAGTGCCTTCAAGTGCGCACCTGTCTGTGTACCTGTGGCTTTTAATATTTGGTCAGTTAAAATTTTCAGCTGTCTTCGATCTTGCTCATTTTAAACATGTCTTCATTTCCGGTCCGCCTGCGCAAACGAATAAAGAGGTAGGCTCCCAGCATCAGGCAACCGGTTGTCAGGAAAATCATACCGAATGCAAGGCCAGCCATGTCACCTAAAGGGAGAGATGAGGGGTACGGGGGGAGGGGAATACGTGTCATATAAACAGAACAGCCTTGAGTTCGGGCAAGAAAGATGGGAGATGTAAGATACATGTCAATCGTTCAAACAGAATAGCCTACTTGTACACCTAAGGGTGGGGGAGAGAGAAAGAGAGAGAGAGAGAGAGAGAGAGAGAGGTGCCATATTAACAGGATAATAATATCCTTGTGGCCCTGCAAAAGAGGGGATTATAAGATATTTGTTGTGTAAACAGAACAGCCTTATCACATGGGATGGAACGCTAGGCGGGGTAGATGCATTATGTCCAACAGATAGAATAGCCTTAACATCTGAGGAGAGGATTTGACGATTGGTAATCATGGGTGGTTTGTGCTCCCGTTAACACAATTTAGACACATGTATAGACACAGCAGCTTTGTCACCTACATAGCATTTTTGTCGTTGTTTTTTTGGGGTTTTTTTTTTTTTTTTTGTTCAGTTGTTATTGTTTTTTTTTCAGGAGGGGCGGGGGTGAGAGGGGCACATGTTATTTAATTTTAACAGACACTAGGTGGGAAGAGGAAATTCATGGAAATGGGTGGGGGGGGAATAGAACATAGTATGTGAGATGAAAAGGGTAGATAAGGATGAGACACAGACAAACTCATCCTCCCCGTCTTGTGATGAGGGAGCAGGCCGAGTCTGATTGAAGGAGTATCAAGAGGCATTAATAGGCTAAAGAAAAACCAGACTTGTGTGCAAGCTACATGATAAATAGATAGATAGATAGATAGATAGATAGATAGATAGATAGATAGATAGATAGATAGATAGATAGATAGATAGATAGATGAGAAGCAGAAAAAAGAGTGGTAAGTGAGCGAGAGCAGAAAAACAGAAAGGGAAGTCAGCGAGAGATGACAAATATAAAATGGGACAGTTTAGATAGATTGAAGGCCACGCAAAAGGTGGATCGAGGGTGTCGAGGAAACCTGAAGAAAAACATAACATCACAACTGAAAGAGCTGAGGAGCTGGCCTACCATAGAAAACTGCATCTCCCCCTCGACGCTTAACGGCAACAGAGGATGAAAAAGTAAAAGTAAAGTAGATAGATAGATAGATAGATAGATAGATAGATAGATAGATAGATAGATAGATAGATAGATAGATAGATAGATAGATAGATAGATAGACTGGCTGGCCCTGACGTATAGGAACCGACATACAAACAAACAAAGAGCAGACCCACACTCAGATAGCAAACTTTCTCGTACTTGGAGTATATCCTCCTGAGTTCTTGTCACGTGTGCCTGTACCTGGGCCTTGGCCTGGGCCTGTAACTGGGCCTGTGCCTGTACCTGCACCTGTGCCTGTACCTGCACCTGTGCCTGTACCTGGGCCTGTAGTTGGGTTTGTGCTGCCTCCACTTGTTCCTCCTCCTCCTGCTACGCACGATGAAAATAACAACAAGTTCTTGAATGGTGGTGCTGGGTAGTGCTGGGCACCTTTAGGTTCCCTATTATTGAAAGATAGGAATCGTAGGAATCGACTCCGAACCCAATTACTTACTTTCTAATAATGTGATTTCTTCCGGTGGTTTCCTGGTTGGCTCGAAACATCTTCAACATTTAGGATAACTTTGATTTCGGAACACTACGAATCATCAACTTCTATTTGTCAAAATTAAATTCTTTAAAAAAAAGGGAGAACATATTAATGATTAAAGTAACTGGTAATCCGTTGGTTTACTTAAAAGGAGTCGGAACTTTTCTTCCGTCGGTTCCGGAATCGATTCTTCGCCCAGCTCTAGTGCTGGGCGACTCGGTTCACGATTATTGAAAGCTAGGAATTGTAGGAATCGACTCCGAACCCAGTTACTTTCTAATGATGTGATTTCTTCCCGAGGTTACCTAATTGGCTCCGAACATTTTCAGGATCTAGGATAACCATGATATTGGTCATGAAGTGTCAAATTATATTTTTCAAAAATAAATTTTAAAAAGACAAAGAATATTTTAATGGTTGAATTAACTGGTAACCTTTTTTTTTTTTGCGTGCAAAGGAGTTGTGGGAACTTTTCTTCTGTAGCATTAATCGTGGGAATCGGTTCCGGAATCGGTTTTTCGCCCAGCTCTATTGAATGGATTGGCATGAGAGGGGTGGTGGAGCAAGTTGGGTCGAGTTAAATAGGGTGGGGTAGGTGGGGGTTGGAGTTTTTCAAGTAGGACGAAGAGATACAGGTATAAGGGAGGGGAGGTCGCACCATAGTACCCGCATCCGATCCGGACATTGGGGGACTGCCTTGTTAGTGAGACAACTTCCTGGGCCTTCGGCATATTGTTGTAGGGTGGCCAGTTCCTTTCCACGCTGCGTTTACTTCTCTAACTCGAAGTCAGGTACCCGTTACTGCTGGGTGGGCTGGAGGGGGCGAAAATAATCCGTGTTCGAACCGAGGCTCGAACCCT